TGTGCTGGTTGGGCGACATAACAGGTTACCGCTACTGTTTATTCCAAAAACATTGTGCGTCTTTCGGAATTAAATTCTAAAAATATCACGTAAATTTCGTTACAATTTCTCAGAAACGATCATTGCGGGAAAATTGTGGGCCGGGACTACGATTTTTGAACGATCGATGCGATAAAACGATAGTTCGAGGAACGATAGAAGCGGGAAAATGTAACATTATTTTATATGGGATGTATTCGGGACCGAACAAAACGGACGATGCATCCGGGAAAACGATAGTTCCGGGAACGATGGATAGAGGTTTCACTGTATATAGTATATTTCTAATATTACACACAGTAAAATCTGTTTATAGTCTATTTGGAAGTAATGGAGAATATAATGTGCCCACAACCTATGTATGAAGAAAGAGAAAACAGAAATGGACCAATTGTGGGATGTAAAAAAGAATAAGTCCAAGGGTTTATATATCCCTTAGCAGACATGACACATTACAAGACAGACAGAGCATTTTGTGTGTATATCCATAACTTTATCTATGCTAAGACACCAATTAATCATGTTAAATCCATCCCTTAGAAAAGAGATTCCTTCATCAAAAACTACAATGTCATTTTATATAAAACATGCAACTTACAGTTGACTGTAGAATTTGGATCTCACTTCTCAAATCTCCCATCTCATTCTCAGAAGCTGCAAGTTGTCGCTTTATATTCTCTTCTATTGAAGTTATACCACCATTTTGTACAGAGTTCAACTTTCTATCCTGGAAAAATTAAACAACAAAATAAATTCAAACTATGGTGCATCTAAAATGGAGGGAGATAAACAAACCACACTTTAACCTATTGCTATGCCATTTAAATGAACAGTATCTTGACATTTTCAGACCACTTAATGTAAGCCTCCTTTATACATTATGTTAAGTATGACAGAGAACATGTATAGCCTTTGGAAAAACGTGTGACAGCAGAAGAAAGGTGCAGGAAAACCCACTACAGTGACAGGTTAAGTACACATTAGGCCTTTTGATTTTAACAGAAAATATTTGTTATTATCACCACCCCTCCTGCTATCAGGCTTTAATCTTGTTATGGATATTACAAAACAAAATTTTTTCCATCTTTTCAGATATCTGCATTTTGATCTGCACTGACATTTTAAAAGCTTCTGTAACATATCAAAAAACTCCAGTTTAGTTTATAACAGAAATAATTAAATGCTAATACAAAACACAAGTCAATATTCTGTACCTCATGTTTGTCCCTTAGTGGGCCACTCTGTTTATCTATGGACGCTGGTGTAGGCTCCTTCTTCTCGTGTACAGTCTTTTCTTCTACTCTCTGCATCAAGAAATCAAATACAGATAAAATAATCATTCAAATTATCTGCAATGTTCTAAAGAAATGACCACAGAAGTCTCTTGCAGTGAATCCCAAAGAAGGTTATTAACATTAAAGTAAAAGGAAAACACCAAAGGCAGAGACTAAGATCAAGATGGGAGCAGGTTAGTCAAGATGTCCTACAGAAAGAAGAGCAGAGAGCAAACTGAAGGGGAAGTGCTGTGGAAAGATTGGAATAAATGGGTACTTGTCAGATAACCCACATACAAAGTAGGATTTGATGGTTTCATGGTGTAACAACCAAGAAGACAGCCATATTCCAACCCACCCCACAAAAAAGACACAAATTTTTCACGTGCATTAATGTAAAAACCTGACAATTGAACATTTGTAAAATAAGGAGAATGTCACTTGTTTTCCAATAACTTAAAACAAATTTTCAAAATTATCCAACACAAACCTCAGGTGTTTCACTCTTGCTGTCTTGCAGTCTCATATTAGCTGCCTGTTGGGCCAAAACTGCCATCTGTTCAGCTGCAATGTAATCTTCATCTGATGCAACACTATCATACAGAGGTTCATCATCAGAAATTTCAGATTTTCTTCCTGGCTGATGCACATCAACAGCGACTGATAATGGACTTCCTGGTACTTTATTCACTTGTGGTCCTTTAATTTCTGATGAAACTTAGGAAAGATAAAATCTTTCATTATTACTGTACATCAATATTTCTCAAAACTGAAGGATTACATTATGTAAAAGTTCAGTTGTTTACCTCTCCACCACCAGTTTCCTTGTAATTAATTTTAATATTATCCTTTCATTCCTGCAAGGCTTTATCACGGATTACTTTCAACAAGTTTCTAAATCAAAATTCTGTACACACTTCTTCTTACCCTAATTCAAACTGCCTGACCAGCATATTACAATCACCTTCAATCAAGTAATCCAGTGTTTTTCAACCAATGAAAGACAAAAAATAGCTTGTGGCCTATCATAAAAGATAAAGCCTTGCATAAGAAAGACAGTTAAAGCTGTTACACCCAATAAAAGGATCATCAAAAAGTAAACAATTTCTGTTTTCTGAAAAAGGGGAAGTCACTAAAACTTATAGGCTGACAGACTTTGCCCAATACTTGCTAAAATTTTCTACAGATAAATATAATGGAACACTATGTACCTTGTGATAATAGCAAAGATGGTGCTGTAGGTGACTGACGGCGTTTAGCATCAGACAGAATGTCTATTATGAGAGTTGCGAATTCTCGTGCATTGAAACGGGCAAGCTTCTGACGACCTTGATTCCGAGTTGATGAAAACTCGGGGTTAACTGGGAGAAAAGGCACAGTGCAGCGTTCCGGTGCCACAATACTCGATGACTTCAGGGTTGATAACCAAACTAAAAAACAAAATTTCTTTAATCAATATAACAAAATAAATATACAACAAATAAAAGTAATCATCCAGCATGCCAAAGCAAGATTACTTTATACAAGCTCTGGGAAGAAATATAGGACACCTATTATTTTTAAGATCCTTTAATTGGTATAGAGAAGTGAGTACAAATTAAACATTAATAATGCTACACCTTTATGTTCTATGTCGATAATTTCTGCCAGCATAAATTTATAGTTCACAAAATAGTCAGACATAATCTCAAAGTTCCACTCTGTTAGCTTCTTCCTGAAATTAGCATCAAAGAAGATTTAGTGATATGTTTATGCTGGATCAGAAAATTTCAACTTTTTCTATGGTATTTCAAATTTAGTTATATGAAGATGAATAGAAAAAGTTACAAGAAAAAACAATTAACAAAAAAGAATCCAAACACAATGTTTATCAAAGTATACATATTGTATGACATGATTATAACAACAGAAACCAAAATATAAGTAAAATAAACCATCATTCAAGCAATCCTCAATCGACCAGTAGGACCCTTTTACGAGAAGCTCCTTCAGTTTCTTTCCGAAGAGGTTGTTACTTTTCATCCACTTACTATATGTGGTGAGCTAGCTGTAAATATTACATACTGTACTAGTTGGCTTGCTATTGTAGACTTCAAGCTTGAGGGTGAGCTGATGATATTCAAAGTTATACTTTCACAGTTGCAGATAAAATTGGTTCTTATAGGTACAAGGCAATACACATGACTACCCTTTATTTTAACACACTCTTCTTGTATGTACTATGCTCCCAAACAGCAATTCCATATGAAAGAAATGAATATACTAACTCATAACAGACTATTAAGAACATCCAATTCAGTTATACTAGACAACCTCTTAATTATAAACAGACTTAACCTATTCTTATTCCAAATATTGTCTATATATGCTTCTCCTAAGTAAAATTACTGCTAATAACAATTATATTCAACTGTAGCTTTGGTCTTCCTGTGCACTGTACATTCAGGTACAGTGATGTGCAGACACCCACGTGATACTGAAAGCGTAAAACTTACTTGATTCAGTCTCTCTTCTATCCACTTCATCATATACATCCATTGCTAACTCCTCAAACAAGTGGTTTGGCAACTGAAAGAAAATTTATACCAAATAAATAGTAACTAAGGTGCTAATAATGATTTTATAAAAATAATTCAAACACATCTGATCATATTTTACTGATTTTCAAAAAATTAATCCAGAAAAGTGGCATTATTTTATAATGTTTTAATGGAAACCAAAGTGAAACATTATATGAAGAAAACAGTTACACTATTTTTCTCACTTAACTGTAAATGTGAAAAATAAACATTATAATCAAACACACCATAAGAAAACTTTTCTGTAATACTTCACTCATGGCAGTCCCCTTAACACAGCTTTCATTTCATTTTACCGAACATGTAATCAATTACTTAGGATAAACATTTCCAGTCACTTAAGAACAATTAAGATGAAGTTACAACAAACATTACAATCACAAACCTGTTGCAGTTTCTTTTTGGCATCTTTTGCAAATTCTGTTAGATCTAAACTGTCTGACATCTCAGGAACAATATAATGCTGGCCAATCTGATGATCTGGTTTCCGTGAACATAAATAATATGCAAAACGATCTGTTAATTCATATGCACATTCAACAAGACGATCTGATAGATTTCTGTGTCCTGACAACCTGAAATAAGACAATTATAAGATATACCTTGCCGGAATTTTGGTGAAGTAACATCCACTGAGTTCACATACGAAATTATATATATAAACAAAGAAGTTAAATTAGTGGTAAAGTAAAGCAATGAAATAAAATAGGCAAAAGGACAATAAGTTATACAAGATCAAAAAATAAACATATATATGAGAAATGTTTGATATGTAATATAGCTGAAGAAATCATAACATGCAGACAAAGATTGGCATGCCTTGCAGATAGAATGGTTTAAGACACGTGGCTAAACATACGATGGAACAAGACAAAGCGACCAGATTCACAGCAAACATATATTACATAAAATAGCCAAATTATGATCACAAACACTTTGTCAATGCTTCCAGTTACTTCCATTATTCATTAACATAACTATTAAACTATTATTTTATATGTGAAATATGGTTTTATTAATTAAATTAATTTTCATTCCATCCCTCTTTAATATAATAACAAAAAATCTCATACATCTTACCATCCAAATATTAACTCTCCTATATCTATTACATATTAAATAATATTGCTAGCAAAAAATGACATGTATGAAAGTGCAGTCTAATTAAAGTAAAAACATACAGTGTAGTCTCACTAGAAAATACAATTTCAGAGCCATAATTTGACTTTTCCACAATGTTTCATCAGAAAGAACTTTGAATCACACCTAGCGTATTCTACTGGTGTTTTCCCTTGGTTGTCTTCTGCTCCAGGATCTGCTCCATATACCACTAATAGCTCAGCCTGCGATACCTGTCCCGCCTTTGCTGCAACGTGCAGAGGTGTAGTTCCCTTTTCCTGCCAAATAAAGAGATACAGATATACATGTCTATAACATAAGCCAATATCCCAAGGCCCAATACTGTAATGCCACTGAAAGGGCATCATTTAAATAAATTTTTCATTCTGTGATTCCCAGATTTGAATTACTACTGTATCAACTGCAGAGGTTATACATCACTGAATGAGACAGGAAGAAAAACACAAGTGGCGAGATGGTAAGGATAAAGTTATGGCCAATCCAAAGCCACTATCCTGACATATAACTGGACAGACAACAGAGTAGGGAGGACAGCATCTTGAACATAATCCCTACTTAAATTTTCTTGTTAAAATTCTTGAAAATCTTGCAAAGGACTTGCAGCATAACCAACTACATCTATCACAAGAAAAAGTTGTAAATCATTTTAGATGTTGGCGAGTGGTCAGCTTCATGTTCTGGGCACTTTATCTTCAAAGAAAG